GTGATCCCAGTGTGATCCCATCCCTGCTCTGTGTGCAGGATCAGCAGGGACCTGTGTGATCCCATCCCTGCTCTGTGCAGGATCAGCAGGGACCTGTGTGATCCCATCCCTGCTCTGTGTGCAGGATCAGCAGGGACCTGTGTGATCCCATCCCTGCTCTGTCTGGGATCAGCAGGTGTGATCCTGGTGTGATCCCATCTCTGCTCTGTGTGCAAACCCCCTGCAGCCACTGCTTAGGATTAAATGCATTTTTGAAGCCAACAGCTCTCTCCTGGAATTTCCAGGTGCTCATGCAACAGCAACATCATTAATTCTCCTTTGTTCAGAGTTTCAGCAACCAGCAGTTCCATCAAGGAATCCATTTCAGAGTTGGTGAGCTTCACTACAGAGAGCTGTGAGCCAGACTGTCCTGCTGCCCCAAAGCTGATTAACAGAACCAAAAACAGCCTGAGTTTGCAGTGGAAGGTGAGAAGCAGAGCTGGGTGTGCAGTGGGATCTGTTGGATTCATGTATAGTATGTTTAAATTAGCTTGGTCAATAATTTAATGTGTACTTTAGGTGTTGCCTCTTAAGTTGCTCAGTTAAGACTGATAATGAAATTATTATTTTCTTCCTCTTTTGGTGTTTACTGAGTTTCTTGCCTGCAGCTTTAGTGTGGCAGAGTTGGTAGCAGGTCTCTTATGAAGTGTTCTGTAGGAAAGTTCTCAACTGGCAGCTGTTTTTGCTTGGGTTCCTACATGATAAATAGATATAACTTAATATTCCTATAGTTATCCTGACCCATTCAAACTAAATTTCTTTGGCTGGTTTTGTGGATTTACATTTTTTTAATCTGACTTTTGAGTATATACAGTATCTGTGAAGACTTGTTGGTAGCTGTGTTTTCTTCTTCTTCTGACTACTGAAAATGGTTACAGCTAAATGACTTCAGTTAAATTATTTGTATAATCTGTACTTAGAAGATGAAGAAGTTCCCAGTTTATCTGTCATAACAAGCACAAATGTTGTTCATCTGAACACTAATGTTGCTCAGTTGTTGAGCACACAGTGCAAGGCACAAGGAAACAAGCTCTAAGAATATAACTTGCTTTATTCATAAAAAAGAACTATACATAAGTTAATATTCCAAACTCTCAGAATTAATAGAAGTAGCACAGCAGCCCAGAGCCTTGTTTTAAAAGGCAGTTGGAGTGTATTGTATTCAATTGTTAAAATGTTGTTTTAATGTGTAAAAATATTTATAAAAGTACAACCATTTGATTTTAACTCTTTTTTCTTTGTTTCTTTATTTTCAGTCCTCAAATGACAATGGTTCCAAAATAACCAATTTTCTTTTAGAATGGGATGAGGTAAGACCTTTTCTAGTACCAAAAAAAATCATAATGACATCTGTAGAGCAATTATATTTAAAAATACTCTTTGCTTAAGTACAGCAGCTATTTTGAGTGCAACTGTCCAGGCAGTTTAAAGGGACAAATGATCAGTGTGAGGGGACAGAGTAAAACTGCCTCAGTTGTCTTTCAGAGCATCATTAATTCCTGTACTCTCTTTAAATGGATGAGCATTTGTATCTTTGGGAGCTGTCACAGATATCCCTCAGATTTTGGCCTTCTTACTGAGATGTATTCAAAGGGATAAAAAATGTCAAAAATATGTTTTGTTTTCAACTACAGTTGTTTATTGTGTCAAATCTCCATTATTCAAAATAAACAGATACCTCAATCCAAATGTGTTTTATTCTCAGGAATGCTCAGAATGACCATCAGCATATTCAGTATGACCATGATGACATTAGATTTTGCATTCTTTAGGTTTTTCATTATTATTAAACGATGAAATGACATTTGTGGTGGAAGGTGTCCCTGCCCATGGCAAGGGGTGGAATGAGATGGGCTTTAAGGTCCCTTCCAACCCAAACCAGTGTGGAATGCTGTGATTTAGGAGATTTAGAGTGAAGAGGGTGACCTTGGCAGGGATCAGACAGACCCTTGGTGGAGTTCACGCAGTCCCAGTGCAAGAAGTGACTCTGGTTCTCATTTTTTCAGGGGAAGAGTGGCCCCTTCAAGGAGTGTTACTACGGGCACCTGAAGCAGTACAAACTCACCAAACTCTCTCCCTCCACCAGATACTCGCTGAGATTGGCTGCTAAAAATGATATTGGAATGAGGTAACAACCCGAATACGTGATATCATTTATTTCCTCCTCAGCCCCCTGTGCTGTTGTTGATGTTGTGTACAATCCCTCCCCAGTGGGTTCAGCGAGCCGGTGTCGTACTACACGGCCGGGATGGTGCCCCCAGCCCCAGCCCCCCCGCTGCTGCTGGAAGCAGGAGTGACCTGGATGGCCCTGAGGTGGATCCCACCCCCTGGGGTGTCCTCAGATGATTCCCTCACTTACACCTTGGACATGGAAGAGGAAGGTTCTGTAAGTGCTGAGGTTGTTGCACACGTCAAATACCTGATCCTCCGTGGTGCTGAAATAAAAAATTAACTCTGTTTTACCTTTGAATTGCCAAGTCTTTCACGTAATTCATAAAGAGATGAAGTTCATGCTAAAAAAATCGTGATGGACCTGCTCTGGTTTTTTGTTCTGTCTTAAAAAGGAGTGACTGTGTTTGTCCTTGTTTTCCCTCCTTCCCAGGGTTATGGATTCCAGCCCCAGTACAACGGAGATGAGCTCTCATGCACTTTAAGAAACCTTAGGAGGAGCACATCCTATAGGTTCAGGGTTCGTATTTTATTCTGATTTAATGATGACTGTGCTTTTCTGGGTTTGGCATTTTCATGCAACTCAGACACTTTGTATTGAGAGCAGGAAATTATCTGTTGTTGGAACAGGTTTTGGCGAAATCCTAAAACAAATCAGATTTTCTCCACTAGCTAGTTCTTTTTTCTCTTAAATTGTTGTCTTTATTTTGGTTGCTTTTTTAATAGAGGAATTTTGTAAATCAGCAGTATATTACTGTCATTTTATGTTGTCAATAGGTATTATTGTCATTAAATAAAGAAGTTATTCTTTTCACTCCCGAAACAGCTCTTTGCCTACAACAGTGAAGGAAAAAGCAGTCCCAGTGAGGTGGTGGAACACAGCACCAATCCTGACAAACCTGGACCCCCCAGTAAACCAGTTGTAAAGGGCAAGATCCACTCCCACAGTGTGAAAGTTGTGTGGGGTAGGTGCCTTTTGGTATTCCAGTGCTGCACTGAACTGTGTATGTGCAGTCCCTCGGGGGTGCAGATCAAATCAGAGGAGAACTCAGGCTATTTATTTGTTCCTGCAGGAGAAATTATTATTTATTATTGCAGGAGAAATACTCAGCATTAGCAAAAAATGGTTTATTTGGGGACTGTAGTACAAAAGTGATGGTTTTCTTCATTCATTTTAGAGAAATCTCATGTGCTCTTAAAAAGTAAGAGCTGATACCTGCAATTGGCACTATTTTCCTAGTTCCTCTTCCTGGCATAATCGTGATTAATAATAGGAAAAAAAATTGCTCTGAAAAACATGTTGTGAATAATTAAGAACACTGGTTTCTGTTTCTGTTGGAGTTTTCTACTTGAATGTATTCTGCAGTCAGTGAGTATGTTCTCTCAACAAGCTGATAACAAAATAATGGCTGGTTTTAAAATCTCCCATGATTTAAGATGTTGGTTTCTTTCAGAACCTCCCAAAGATAACGGAGGATCAGACATCTCTAAATACTTTTTGGAAATCTCGGAAGCATCAGCTGGTAAGGGATCACCTTTGGGTACTGAGTGTACTGAGTCTCCACCCCTGGAGGTATTTAAATCACATGTAGATGTGGAACTTGGGCACATGGCTTAGACTTGATCTTGGAGATCTTTTCCAACCTGAACGAATCTTTCCTCGTTGCTCGAGCAGTCAGTTGTAACACGTCGTGCATGTTCTCTGTGTAATCACTCATTTAAAATAATCACTCATTTAAAATCGATTCTGTGGCTTGACTGTCATAATTGGGTGAGAGAATTTTCACGTGGGATTTTGCAGAGGTTTTGAAGTGCAAAGTGTTTCATTTCTTTGCTCAGGAGGGAAGTGGGACACGGTGTACAGCGGGGCCCAGAGGGAGCACGTGTGTGACCACCTCAGGCCCGGCACCTCCTACAGACTGCGAGTGTCTTGTGTCAGTAAAGGTGGGGAAAGCCAGGTGAGCAAAATCACAGTAACTGGGCATCTGGAAGCCATTTCTGGTTATGTTTTATGAAATGTTTTTGTGTTCCTGCTCTAAACTAACCTGTCCCCCTGCCAGGCCTCCGATGTGACGACGGTCACGACGTCGGCGGTTCCCCCCGGCCCCTGTCCCGCTCCAGCCCTGGCAGGCAAAGCCAAGCCCAAGGAAATCCCTCTGCAGTGGGGTGAGCACAGGGTTTGAGCAAAATGCTTCTCTGATTTTAACTGTCCAAATAACAACAATCTGTAGAACTTCTTAGGGAAGAAAGTAAAAATAGAAATATTGAGATGCAGGCTGTGCCCTCAGGTGGTTTTTAGCTTTGGGGGGGTTTTTTTGTGGTTTTTTTTAAGAAGAGTGCCTCTGATTGAGTGATACAGTGAGACTTATGCAGACATAAATATTTGCCAGTGAGAAATCTTCCTGCCTGCCCATGACTGACTCCTGTTTGGCAATTTAAAAATCAGCTCTTCTTTTCTTATTGTTACCTCAGTAAAGGAGATAATCAAAGATACACTGTTTTATGAAGAAAACAGGGAAAATACCTGGGGAAAAAGCCTGATGAGGGCCATCTTAAGCTATCGATATCTGGGGGGAAAAGCAAGCTCCGTGAAGTGTTTCTGCTCAGATATGTGATAAAAACTTGCCCTGACTTCTGGAATTTAGCAATTAATACTGGAAAAACCAATCTGTTTTTGTTTCCTAGGCCCCCCAGCCGTAGATGGAGGTTCTGACATTACAGAATATATTCTGGAGATGGCAAACTCTGAACAGGATGAACACAGGGTTGTGTATCAGGGCCCAGCAACTGAGTATGTAGTGACCAACCTGCTTCCAGGGAGAACCTACTGCTTCTGGATCCGGGCAGGGAATAAAGTCGGGGTAACCACTGCCAGACCACATCTCATCTGTTCTTCACCAGAGTGTGCAATGATGGTGCTGCTGGAGAAGTCTGAGGCTATTTTGTAGCTTGTGTTGTGTGAAAAACCACTTAATAATGCCTTAAGAAATTGTTTGATGTGTTCCAGTGAGCTCACACTCTGCAGCTGGTGGTGTGGGAACAGCATTGTGTGGAGAGGGGTGTGTGCAAGCCATGCCAGGTTGGAAAAAAGGGTGGAAGAAATGTTGGTTGCATAAAAGTCTTTGTGAAACAGTCCCCAGCTGCTTCTGGAAGCCAGATACTGGCTGGGGGAGGGAGGAGTTACACAACCCTGGAGTGGGAGGATCTCAGATTCCTGTGGGAATGGAACCAGCTTAGAGTAAACTACCTGCAAGGGATCTTCAGTGGTGCTGTGGAACTGAGCACTGGGCTCTGCTATCTATTGCTCTGTCAAGTTAAAAGTGGTTTGTTTTCTTCACTTGCACATCAGTTCCTGCTCTGGTGCTGTTGCTGTGTTCATGCAGTTGTGTTTCCCTGCAGTTTGGCCCCTACTCTGACAAGGCAGAGCTCTCCACTGCTCCGGGCCCCCCCGAGCAGTGCTGCAAACCCCTGATAACCTGTAAGAGTGCAACCTGTGCTGTGGTTTCCTGGGAGGTAGGTGTTGATGGCTCTCAGTAACCCCCAGATTGGTGTTTGGCTTTTAGAGTTGTAGTGACGTGTGTGTGGTACACAGAAATGGGAGAAATAACATATGTAGAGCTGGAATATTTTAAGCCCAGTTCTTTATAGATGTTTATGTTGGGTTTGTAAACTCGGTTTGAGTTACTAATTTCAGTCTTAACTGGACAAATTGGGTGACATTTAATCCTCCTCATGTTATGGTAACTAATATGTAATAGATTAGTTCATCTAATTGGTGAGAGACTGTGAGTGAATGAAAACTGTGGTCTGAACTGTGGTGGTGTTACAGCCACATGTCATCTTTTAACAAGCTGAACTTAAAATCCCTGGGAAGAGACCTCAGGTTTCAATCCCAGTGCTTCCAGAGGTTGGACTTGGTGGTCTTGGAGGTGTTTTCCAACCTTAACAGTTCTGTGTCTCTGCTCAGTGTAGCAGTAGATCCCATCTGTGTGGTGAATGTGTAAGTGCAACAGCTGAACTGAATTTCTCCTCTAACCCCACAGAGCCCGGCGTGCAACGGTGCAGAAATCATGGAATACAGGCTGGACTGGGGCCAGGTGGAAGGATCCATGCACATCATCTACACTGGCCCTTGCCAGAGCTATGAAGTCAAAGGGCTCACACCTGCAACCACCTATTACTGCAGGGTACAGGTAGGAAAAGCCTTTTGCTGTCACTGAGCACATCGTCGAGCTCTTGCAGTTTGGAGAAAAACCAGCTAGAGAGGAATAAAGTCATGTGCTGTCACCTAGGAGGTAACTGGGAAAAACAGTTCCCCTTCTCCCCCAGTCCCTCCTAATTCCCTGTATCTAGAAGAGAGGTCAGACCCAGTGTGCCATGAAATCCAGACACTTTGCTGTGTTTCCATTTTATTCAGGAGATTTTCCATTCTCTTCCATGCTGCTTTAAGAACACATGGAAAGGTGTGATAGATGTGACTGCCTGGGTAGAAAAGAGCTTTGGTGAACTGTCCCTGGTGTGTTTTTTCAGGCTGTGAACGTGGCTGGAGTGGGGCTCTTTGGGGAGACCAGCGTGGTGACCACCCCGCCGTCGGTGCCCGCAGCCGTGGCCGTGCTGCACCTCCTGGAGGAGGAGCAGATGGAGATCTCTGCTCCCTTCTCCACGTGCCTTGCAATCCAGTGGGAAGAGCCCTGCTGCCACGGGGCTGAGATCACAGGGTACAACATAGAGTATGGGGAAAAGCAGCTGGTCACTGTGGGGAGGAACACGACTCATGTCCTGGAGAATCTGCTGCCTGACACTCTGTACAGGTAATAACTGGTTTATTTTGAAAGCACACTGGTAGGATTTAAAAGAATAGCTTTGAGGGTAGTGGTGTAAATGTTTAGAGCAGTTTTTCATTCAGCTGACGGACTATTTGCCTAATTCACCCTGCAGCCCCAGAAAATCACCCCAAAATTGTCCTATCCAGACTCAAAGCATGATATTGGCAGGAGTTAGATCGTGGTGTTCAATTCACATTCTGTCTCAAAGCCAAGGCCTAGTTCTGAGATTTCTGGGATTAGAATTTTTCATTGTGAAGCATATAAAGGGATAATCAGGTGTGTGGCCAAAGGAGGAGGGATGGACAGGTCAATAAGTGTTCCTGTGTCACGTGTTCAGTCTTGGTTAAAGCTGAGTTCAGATCAGGGGTCTGCAGTTTTAATTTCTGACTGCATTTTAATTGCTTTATTGTATGCAGTTATATTCTGTACCTTTTAACTCTTGCTTTATTACCCAGCATTTTTCCTGACCACATAGCTGCTCTCTCCCATTCCCAGAATCAGAATACAGGCCATAAACAGCCTTGGAGTCGGTCCTTTCAGTCATTCCATGAAAGCCAAAACCAAACCACTACCTCCTGACCCTCCTCATCTGGAATGTGTGGTCTTCAGCTACCAGAGCCTTAAACTCAAATGGGGAGAAGGGCCCAGCAGAGCTTTAATTACCAACCCTACACAGTTCAACTTGCAGATGGAGGACAGGTTTGGCAGGTAAGTTCTTGTTGATTTACTACTTCATGTCAAGCTTTTAAGGTATTTTAGGTATTTTCCCTTCTACTTGCACTAGTGAGTCACTTGGGCATCCCAGAGTTTTCCCCTTAGTTTGCAGCTTTGCATCCCATCTTTCAACCAGAAATGCTGTCAAAAAACTTGCACTTCTGCAATACCTTGCTCTTCTATTTGTTTTTTTAACAGTAAATACTATTTACTATTTGAATAATAAACATCTTGCCATTATCCTGTGTTGGCAGGGGTTTTATTTTTTGGAAATTCTAAAACGAAGTGCAGTTTGCATAAAAGAAACACAGAGTGGCCAGCTGTTCTTTAACTTGAAATTTCAATTTATTTGGTACGTTCAAGGGTTCTTCTCTTGATTCGGAGCAGGAGTTGGGTCCTGCAGCCTCAGTGGGATGGCCAGTGTGCACATGGGGAGAAACCTGGGACACCCAGAGTGTGGTGTCACCTCCTTGTCCTTAAGTTAAAACAATTGTTCCACTTCTGATACTGAGCTAGACGTTTGTGATTGCTGAGTAACTGAACTGTGTGTGTTCTCTGTGTTTCCAGGTTTGTTACAGTTTATAATGGTCCCTGTCACACCTACAAGGTACAGAGGCTCAGTGAATCCACTACGTACTATTTCCGGATCCAGGCCTACAACGACGCTGGAGAGGGAGGGTTTTCCCAAGTTTACGCTTTCACTACGACTAAATCTCCACCTGCATCTCTTAAAGGTGAGCTGACCCTGCCCCAGGAACCTCTGCAAGCCACTTCTGTGCAAGATTCCTACAGCCTGACACTGCCCAGCCCAGAGTCTTTCCAGGGCCTTGAGGGACAGAGAATGGGAACAGGTTGTGAGGGGCTTTGTTGGGTATGAGAAGGGCTCCTGCACTGCAGCTCTTCCGCCCCTGAACTAAGCATTCCAACCTTTTTTCAATTGGAAAGACATTTTTCAGGGTTACCCATCATTTGGTGTAAGTTACAAGAGCATGTAGCAAATGAGAGCACAAATAATTCCTCTGGTCTTCGCTTTCTTACTTGAACCTCAAAGGTTCTTGGTAAAGTCATTCTGAAGATCAGAGTGCTGAGGGCCTGCAGGAAAATTAATTGACTGAACCATGTTTATAACATGTAATTTCACCTCTGGGCATGGACAGAAATGCTGGTTTCTGTAGTGTTTTGAAAGTGCTGCTCCTCCCTACAAGCATTAGGCATCTGTCAGCTCTAAAAGACAGACAAGTGTAACTCAGTGATCATTTTTTAAGCTTATGTCATGAAATAGAAGAAAAACTACAAATCTTAAATCCTTAAAATTATTGGAATGAATTACCTCAAAGGATAATGGTTCTACATTTATAGAAACCATTGTTCTTTTTCTCTGAAAACACCAACAAATCCCTTTATTTTCCCGCAGCACCCAAAGCGAATCAGCTGGAAGAAAACACTTATGAAATCACATGGGAGCCTCTCCAGCCAATGAAAGGAGATTCCATTGTTTACATCCTTCAGCTTGCTGCTGGCAGAGAGTTTGATCAGGTACCTTCTGTGCAACATCAGGAACTTGAGGGGTTTTTACTTGGAAAAATTATTACAAACAAAAAGATGTGGCTATTTCTAGTGGAAGGTGTTCCTTATGGCAGTTACAACTTCCTTGTGAGGGGCAGAGGAGGGGCAGGACTGAGCTCTGCTCTGGGGGGACCAGGGACAGGACCCCAGGGAATGGCTGGAGCTGTGCCAGGGCAGGGTCAGGTTGGATCTCAGGGAAAGGTTCTTCCCCCAGAGGCTGGTTGAGCACTGCCCAGGCTCCCCAGGGCAGTGGGCACATCCCCAAGGCTGCCAGAGCTCCAGGAGGGTTTGGCTGATCCTCTGGATGTGCTCATGATGTGACTCCTGGGGATGGGCCTGTGCAGGGCTGAGCATTGGACTGGATGGTCCTTGTGGGTCCCTTCCAACCCAGCACATTCTGTGATGCTGTGACTCCAGGAGGTGCCCGGCGCTGCACACCCCTGTGAGGAGGAGCAGGAGGTCCCAGTGCAGTGTGTGGGGTGGCTCCCGTGTGATTGTCCCGTGTCCCCCCCAGGTGTACAAGGGCCCCGAGACGTCGTTCCGGCTGCCGGGGGTGCAGTCGAACTGTGAGTACCGAGTGCGGGTCTGCGCCGGGCGGCAGAGCCAGGACCCCGCGGGCCCCCCGGAGCTGCTGGGCCCCTACAGCCCCAGCACGGTGTTCTCGGCGCAGCGGCAGGAGCAGGGCCCCCCCTGCCCCGCCGCCGGGCCGGAGCTGGCGCAGAGCGGGAAGCGGCTGCGCGAGGAGCGGCTCATCGCCATCGTGCTGCTCTGCGGCTTCGCCGTCGTCGCCATCCTCTTCGCCGTCGTCATCCAGTACTTCGTCATCAAGTAGGGCTGGGCCCGGCCCTGCTCAGCCCTTTGTACAGAAGCTCTTTCGGGTATTTATGGTTAGTCCTAATGAAAATCCTAGCTGGGAATGGCCCCGTGCGTTCCCGCCCTGCTGCTGGCTGCCACTGAGGCTGGGTTGGCAGATCCTTTCCAAATGCTGAGCGCACGTTTCTTGTAGAAAGGGTGATTCTGGGTCCTCTGCAATCAGGGTGAGCTGTCAGAGAACAGCACTAAACTGCCTTACAGTGCACGCTGGGGGTGTGCACCCTCCTCCTCTCTCCCGATTCCAGCCACTCGGAGAGGGAAGGCATTGCTAGAACAGTCCTTTGCCAGCACCACCAGAGCAGCGGGAGGCGATCGCTGTTCCATCAGGTTTTGTTGTAGTTGATATCCATGAAATCCAGCAGCACAAGTGCTTGAGCTTAGAGCAGAACTGCAGAGCCTACTAGAGCATACCACATTTACTAGACTGTAGAAGGAAAGCAGAATATTGACTTAGTGATATTACTACTTTACAGTTATTTTAATATTTGGGGTTCAGTAATAATCATTTCAAGTGTTGGAGTAGAGGGTGCCAGTTTTTTAGAGTTTTAATCCAAATCAATGCCAGCTGGAGCGTGAGCAGGACACGGAGGAAAGGCCCCTGTTGTGACCGGAACGTTCCTGCTGTCCTGAGCAGCTTTGGCCCAATCCACATTTCACTCTCAGTGCCTGAGAGAAAAGTAATTCCCTGTGCAGCGTGCTCAGAACAGCACAGGTGTTGTTGTCTTCAAGGAGAAAGAGTGCATTTATGATAAATGTTACACTATTTGGCTCAAACTGAGCAATTTTTGTACTATTATTAACCTGAAAAATAAAAAGTTCAGCCTGCTTTTGGGTGCCCTTCTAACTTAACCCCAACGATCAAATTGTACGTGAGAGAGCTCTTTTTAGATAACATTTATACGATGTTTTAAACAACTTGCTATCCCAGTGGTAGCAGCTTCACATTCCATGGTTTTCCTGTTGGGAATGTTCAGCCTGCTATGAACTTGTCTGAAACTCGTCCTGGTTGGCTGGGGGATATTTTTGTGGACACTGTGCACTACATTTGACTGTTGTGTTCCATCTGCTTGTGAATCCCTGAGGAGGAGCCTCACAGCTCCTGGCTCCGTTGGGTAAAGGTTTTGAAAGCTGGAACTCACAAATTCCCGATGTTTCAGGATGGGTCTTGCCAACAGCGTTTGGAATATGCCACAGAAAGGTGGATTTAGGGTGTTTTGCAAAGTCTGTGGCTCCACTTTGTACATCAGAGCGATGCACTTGTACGTGGGAGGGTGGATGTGACAGAGCTACAGGCGCCGTGTTTCCAGTCATGAACTCACCACCTTGAGGGTCTTTCTCCTACGGCAGTTGAGGAATAAAGTCGTGTTAGTTTGAGGCATTGTGTTGTATTTCAGATGTGGAAAACCTAAATTATGGCCTAGTAATGCTTAATCCTCTTCACAGTAGATTTATGGTGCAATCTGAAATTAATCTTTTCAAAACGTACTCTTCATTTTGTACTCTATTTATTTTGATTAAAAGTCCTGGAAAAAAAAATGTATGTTTGAATGTATTGTTCTACTTGTAGCAGAACTTTAAGTTAATCATTTATTATATCATAGAAATCTCTCCCTCCAGTGTCGAAAAGAGTTTTATACAGATATTAGTCTTTAGTTTGCAGAAGAGTTTACAATCTGTCTTTATTTTCCTCATAGCCTCCCTTTAGCAGATAAACTGATAAAAAAAAACAGATAAACTGCCTTCAGAAATCTCTGTTGCCAAAGGGTTATTTCTTAACTCCTTGAACCAACTCGTGGAGGGTTATTTGGCAAAAATACTCCTGATCATTTAAAAGAGAAATTAGGAGCGCAGAGTAAATACTAACAAGTCATGACTGCTAAAAACAAAATCCTTTTGTAATTGCCACAGAATACTCATAATTCCAGAAACAACTGGGATTTATACTGCAATACGGATTTTTCCATCAGCTGTTGTCCATTCCAGAAGGATGTACCCTCGTGGCATTAATGTTTTTAGGTATCTTCAGTTTTCTTGTATTGTCATTTTTGAGGTATCTCAAACGTATGTTAAAGCTGCCATGCATTGTATTACTAAATTGTAACTATCAAATAGATAATATATTTAATACAGCCAATAAATAATACAAATGTATTCAAATTTGACTCCGGGCTCCTGTGGTTTTGTGGGTTTTAGTCTCGTTTGTGTCGTGTGGAATTTGAGGTGAAGGAACGTGCTCAGTGGCATTAGGAGCTGAAATAACTTTTCTTCTGTAAAGACTTCTTTATTTGTGGGACCCTTGGAATATCACTGTCCTTTTCCTCCCCCGGAGCTGTGTCAGCAGGGACCAAGCCGTGGGAATTCCTGAACCCCTTTGTGTGAGGTCGGGATGGTGCAGGGACAGACCTGAGGGTTGAGCAGTGACTCGACCTTTAGGAACAAGGGAATGTGTTCGTAATCCCACAAAATGAGGAATTCCTTGCCATTTTCTTTTCCAGCACTTTACAGGTTGCTTTCCATCCACTTGAGAGAGCAGAGAGCTGGCCTGGCTTAACCTGCACTGCACCTCTTGGCTCCTGTGGGAAGGAAGGGACGTGAGTTCTGTTTCCCAGGTTTGTGAGTAACAGAAAGGTCCTAAAAAACAGACAAATCTCTTCCCAGGAGCTTGGTGAGGAGGAGAGGATGGGAGGGGCTTTATTTGACCACCAGTCTTGCAAATGAGACAGTCGGACACTCAGCCCGGATTTACTTTCCACCTGAGGAAAGATCAGGGATGACGAGCTGGGAAGTACCAGGAGGGGGGAGGTGAGGGTGATGGGGGCTAGTGTGAGGGAAAACCCACGGGAAGGCTCTGGGAGGCTAGAATTACAGCCAGAGGGACAGGGACACCCTGCAGAAGGATGTGCCCATCCACAGTCCTCAGGAATTCCTCCATAACCCGGGAATGGGGCGCTGGCAGAAGCGAGAGGGGTATCAGGTACAACACAAACCTCCCCCGTCCTCCTCGGAGCTCAGCTCTTGCAGCTTCTCTACTCTGAAGGGCTGTTCAAAAGCCAGAGTTTTTTGGAGCCAAATAGTGCGGGATTTGGGCTGGAAAGGTCAGTGCTGAGCACAGTCACTGCATTGTCCAGCACATCCCAGTTCTGACGTTGGGGAGATTCCTGCTGCCCTTTCCAACAGGCAGAAGCACTAGCTGTGGGTGTTTATTCAGGGGATTTAAGCACTTGGACACCTCTAAACAAGAAAAGCTGTGTGTGTGCCATGGCTCTGCTTGGCTGCACCTTAAACACCTCCTGTCTGTGAAGAAATTCCCAGTTAAATTTCGTGGGATCACAGGCTGGTTTGGGTTGGAACAGACATTAAAGCCCATCTCGTTCCACTCCACCCCCTGCCATGGGCAGGGACACCTTCCACTAGACCAGGTTGCTCAGGGCTCCGTCCAGCCTGGCCCTGAACACTTTCAGGGATTTAAAATTTATGGGATTTAAATCCTGCACCCTGAGCAGAGCCGTGCCTGGCGTGTGCTCGCCCGGGCTGTGCTCCGGATTTCTCGGGGCAGATAATTCCCAGCTGGCAGACACTGTCTGGGATGAACGACTCCGGCTCGGTGGTGGCAGATGGAGGAGTCAGAGCTCGGCCGGGACACACCATGACCCCATTTCCTGTTTTCCAGTGCTGAAAACAAGCCCAGTGTCTGAGTGAAAAGGAAGGGTGGATGCTCTTCCATTGGAGCAATGCTCAGTGCCCACAGAATGCGGAATTCAGCCATTTATCCTGGAGAAAAGGAGGCTCAGGGGGGACTTTCTTGCTCTCTGCACCCCCCTGACAGGAGGGGGGAGCTGGGGGGGGGTCAGGCTCTGCTTCCATGGAACAAGGGACTGGACAAGGGGAAACGGCCTCAAGCTGTGCCAGGGGAGGTTAAGTTGGATATCAGGAGGAATTTCTTCATGGAAAGGATGGTGGGGCATTGGAAGGGGCTGCCCAGGGAGGTGGTGGAGTCCTCATCCCTGGAGATGTCCAAGGAAGGACTGGACGTGGCACTCAGTGCTCTGGGCTGGGGGACAAGGTGGGCATCGGGCACAGGTTGGACTCCATGATCTAGGATGATTCCATGATTCCCGGTACAGCTGTGCCCCTGAGGACTTGCCATGGGGAGAAGCTTCCATGACCAGGAAGGTGTTCATGGCCTTGAGGACAACTGTCTCCCCTGCGGAAGGTGGTTCTCCATTTCTCCTCCTCACTGCTGGTTTCCCACAGAAATCCTGCAGGTAGCTCCTGGTCATGCTTCCCAGCCTGGAATATCACCTGTGGGTGGGTGGGGAAGGTTTCCCAGCATGGATCCAGGGGGTTTTGGGGGTAAATCCAGAGTCCCACTGCAGTTCAAACATCATTTTCTCTCCTACCTCAGGAACAAATGGAGTGAGAGCCACAGCCCCATGTGCCAAGTTCCAGCCTGACCCAGAGCCCGCGGTGGAAGAGCTCCCCCCCCCTTCCCTAGAACAAGGGAAAAAAAGTGGATTTTGTTTGTTGTCTAAGGTCAGTGTCTGGAATTCCTCCTCCCTCCTCCTCGCAGGATGTTTTTGTGTAACGCTGTGACTCATGGAAGTCAAATGACTTGGCCTCGGAGCTGCGGTGCTCCGGCCAAGCTCCTCAGCTCAGGAATTCTGTGCCTGCCCCTCATGCTGGGTGAGGGTTTTCCAGCCCCTGCAGGCGCTGCCGGAGCCATGGGGCAGCTCCTGCCCCCCAGCAAGGTGAGCCCAGCACCCCCAGCACCCCCAAAGTTTTGGGATGTGTTTCCATCCAAGTTGGCTGATCCAGGTGCTGGACACCTTCCTGGGTGGGGATGGGGAGCAGATGGAATGTGGCAGCTGCTGGAACGTTCTGCAGTGAGGTACAAGGTGGAGCAGAGGGAGCTGCTGTTCCTTTCCCCCTCTCTCTGGGGAAGCTCAGTGGGAGTCCCTGGGACATCCTCGTCCTCCAGCCCTTGCTTCAGTTGGACCATCACGGGCAGTAACAACATGTTGCAACTGCTCCTGGAATGCTGCTGATCCCTGTCTGGCAAAATCTCAAGAAAACTTTATCTTTGGTTCTGTTTTGTCTCTGAAAGGGAGAAACTTTGATGAGACCCGCATGGAACATGCTCTACATGACTTTCAAATCCATCCAGCTGCCACGAAAACAAGCTGGAAAAAGCTTTTAAATTTGCTTCCTAAGCAGAACCAGTTATTTTCAGAGCAGTGGAAATACACAGGAACACACTTTCGTTTTTATCTAACCCTGGGAATGCCAGCAATTTAAAAAGTGGCTTCAAAGCCGGTAATGAAGTAACAAAACATCCCCTCCTGCTGGACCACGGGGCAGACGGGGGCACTGGGCTGTCTGAAGCAGGGGGGACAGGGGACGGATCCCTGGATCCACCACATTTGTTCTGTGCATCACTTGGTCTCCAGGAATATTTATATTACAAGGAATTTCTGCCCCGCCATGCAGCGTCTCCATGGCAACCGCGCCTGGCCGCGTCTCCATGGCAACCGAGCCCTCGCGGCCGCCGTAGCCCCGCGCGCCGCTCGGCGGTCACGTGAGCGGGAGCGATGGAGGCGGCCAAGATGGCGTCCCCCAAGAGCGCCCCCAAAGACGCGCAGGTACCGCGGGCACAGGGCACGGGGGCAGCGGGGCGGCGGGGGGCTCCCCGCGGCTGAGCCGTGCCCCTCTCCCCCCGCAGGTGATGGCGCAGATCCTCAAGGACATGGGCATCACTGAGTACGAGCCGCGCGTCATCAACCAGATGCTGGAGTTCGCCTACAGTGAGCGGGGCCGGGGCCGGGGCGGGAGGGGCGCGGGGAAAGGCCGGGGGGAGCAGGGCAGTGCTGTGAGAGCAGGGCAGTGCTGTATCCGTGGTCCCTTGGGGGTTTCCCGTGTCAGACTTTAACCACTGCGCTCGGTAGTTGCGGAGATCTTTTCCAGCCTTAATTCTGGGGTTCTTTGGAAGTAATCACAGAGTCACAAAGCCCAGGGTGGTTTGGGTTGGAAGAGACTTTAAAGCCCACCCATTCCCACCCCCTGCCATGGGCAGGGACACCTTCTACCAGCCCAGGTTGCTCCAAGCCCTGTCCAACCTGGCCTTGGACACTTCCAGGGGTGGGGCAGCCACAGCTTCTCTGGGCAACCTGTGGCAGGGCCTCCCCACCCTCACAGCCAAGAATTCCTTCCCAGTATTCCATCGAACCCTGCCCTGGCAGTGTGAGCAATAACCCTGCAGGGAGTCGTATTTCCAGTGCCAGGGCTGGGAGGGAAGGGTTGAACTGAGCTGTCCCCCCAGGGTACGTGACCACCATCCTGGAGGATGCCAAGATCTACTCGAGCCACGCCAAGAAGTCGAGCGTGGACGCAGACGACGTGCGCCTGGCGATCCAGTGCAGGACAGACCAGTCCTTCACCTCCCCCCCGCCCAGAGACGTGAGTGCAGCCCCCCTGCTGCCCCCACAGCCCCCCTGCTGCCCCCACAGCCCCCCTGCTGCCCCCACAGCCCCCCTGCTGCCCCCACAGCCCCCCTGCTGCCCCCAGGGCAGGGGAGGGGGCAGGAGGGACGTGGGCCTGTCGTGTGTCCGCAGTTCCTGCTGGACATCGCCCGCCAGAAGAACCAGACGCCGCTGCCCCTCATCAAACCCTACTCGGGGCCGCGGCTGCCCCCCGACAGGTACTGCCTGACCGCCCCCAACTACAGGCTCAAGGCCCTGCAGAAGAAGGTGAGGGCTCTGGGAATGGGGAATCTGGGGATGCTCCTCCTGGGGTGGCAGCAGTGGGGTTGGGATGATGGTTTTCCACCCCTCTGGAAGGCACTTGTGGGCAGGTGTTGAGCTGGGCTCGTCAGTGGGTGTTTGGAACCATCAGTGAATATTTAGGACCATCAGCGCTCTCTGTCTCCAGCCTGCATTTGCAAATATTATTATGGCCAGTAATCTGAAATGCAAAATGTGTTATAAAATCCATCTGGGAGTTTTGTAGCATTTAAGCAGTATCACAGAATCACTGAGGTTGGAAAAGACTTTCAAGATTGAGTCCAACCTGATCCCCACCTTGTCCCCCAGCCCAGAGCACTGAGTGCCATGTCTAGTCCTTCCTTGGACACCTCCAGGGATGGGGACTCCACCACCTCCCTGGGCAGCCCCTGCCAATGCCTGACCACCCTTTCCATGAGGAAATTCCTCCTGATGTCTAGGAGGAACTGCCAGGTTGAACATCAGGTTGTCAAAGGCACAAGCCAGGCTTTGGTGTAGATATTAAGGGGTATTTTGTACTTCCATCTCAGTTATTCCTGCTTTATAGGGAAAAGATTGTCTTTGCTGGCAAACACTGAATGTCTCAGTGTGGGGATTTCCTATTTATTTCCTGGTTCTCTCCCCCAGGTCTCCTCCACAGCAGGCAGGATCACAGTCCCTCGCCTGAGCGTGGGTGCCGTGAGCAGCAGACCCAGCACTCCCACTCTGGGTAGGAAACAGCTCCAGGGGGGGTTTCCCACCTTCATTTTATGGAGGGAAAATAAAGAGGAATAATTTAAAGGACTTTTCAGCCACTGAGGGACTGTCAGTGGCCACCTGACCTTATACTGTTTGACAGCTAAATTAATTTAATCTTTATTATTACAGTGATCTTTGATACATACTGACATTACAAATTCACCGTATTTGTGATAAATTCTTTATTTAAGAGACTATTCAAGAAATTTACTGAAGTGTGAGGGTTTTTCCTCAGTGTCAGTGTGACACTAAACTAAACAGAACTGAAAAAAAGCCATTTCTAAAATGTTCACAGAACTGAGGGCTGAGCACATGCCCTTAGAAATAAGTGTGTGTTTATAGCCTGGAATTGTGTGGGGCTGGAGGAAATGTGGGAAAAGGAGTCAATGTGTGGTTCTGCCTGGGAATCTGACTCCTTACAGCCAGTGTCGGTGTGTCCCTGTGCATTCCCACAGGTTCCATTTTGGAAGCAGATTTAGGAGTGTCTGTTGATGTATTTTGATGGATTTTGAGGGGTTGTGTTGGGTTCCAGGTACCCCCTCAGCCCAGACCGTGTCTGTGTCAGCCAAGGTGGGGGCCCCGGTGTCTCTGGCCGGGCAGCGCTTCACTGTCCAGATCCCATCCTCCCAACCTGCTGGGAAGTCAGGTATGGCTGGGATTGCCTTGGGGTTGGAGCACAGGGATAATCACAGGGTGCTTTGGGTTGGCAGAGGAAAAGCTCCTCCAGTCCCACTCCTGCCACGGGCAGGGACACCTTCACTGTCCCAGGTTGTTCCAACCTGGCCTGGACACTTCCAGGGATGGGGCAGCCACAGCTTCTCTGGGCAACCTCAAGTGGGAAGTAACCTCCCCTCTCCCTCATTCCAGTATCTTCCAGTATCCATTCCCAGCACAGCAGTGACAGCCACAGAGCATCAGTGTCTCTTGTGCCTTGGCTCCACCTCTGTGCTCTCACTCCTCTGTCCTCACCCCACAAGCATTTCCCCACCTTCTCCACTTCCATCTGGGGATCATTCCAGGGTTTTCAGCCTGGGATGTTCAGCCAGCACACTGCTTTATTGCCTTGGAAGTTGTTTCAGTGGGGAAGATCCCCTGTCCTTTTTCCAAGCTCTCACTAAATGATTCCCTTTGGTGCCACAGCCACCCCGACCACCCCGACCGTGCAGAACGTGCTGATCAACCCGTCCCTCATCGGCCCCAAGAACATTCTCATCACCACCAACATGGTGTCCCAGGGCACAGCCAGCGACCCCAACCCCCTCAAGAGGAAGCACGAGGACGAGGATGACTATGACACCTTGTGATGGGAACGGGACCCTTCCCGGGACTCACAGGGGGTGGGAAGGCTCTGGCCAGGGGGGTGGGAATGTGGAAATAAAGTGGAGTGTGTTTGTAACCTGGCCCTTGTGTCCTGTGCACACCCCCCGTGTGATCTGTGGCAGGTGTTTTTGATCTGGTTTTTATCTCCAATCACAGCCCCTTCAGGAATGCCAGAGAATCCTCTGAGGATCACTCTTTTCCCCTGTTTGTCATCCATGTCCTGGTGTCCCTGACTGTCATTCCCATTGTCCCTTTCTTCCCACAGGAGCCAAACAATGCAGTGGAGGTTTCCAAACACACCAGCCCTGTATCCCGGGGTCATTCCCAGCACAGAGGCACAAAGAGCCCAGTGCAGCCAGAGCTGGGCACTGAGTTTGGGTGGGTTTTACTCCTGGATCCCCCAGCAAACCCAGCAGAGCAGAGCAGAGGTGGCACAGAGGAGAAGGAAAGAATTCCATGGCATGAGAGAAGGGAACGGGGA